TAATAAGCACATACAAGCCTAACACGGAGGACAAAGTGAATGTTCTTTGCTGGGGTTTTTTTCGGGTTGTTACAGGGCTCAGCCACATATGTGTTTCAGCAAAAGATGACCTCTCGTTGCCTTCACGGGGACATTTGCCTCCCTTTGGGTCTTCTAATGAAAAGGCACGTATGTCTTTGTTTTGCTAACATTTTTTGAGGCCTTGCCAAGCACCAGACACTGTGCAAAGTGCATTCAGTTCTCATCCTCATCTTTATTACAACAATCCTATGCTGTAGGCACCTTAATTGTTCCCATTTTCCAGACGAGAAAGCTGAGGCTTCCCTAGATGATGTAACTTCCCCCGGACTTCTCGGTTAAGAGGGGATCAAACCAACTAGGAGCCATGTCAGGCCGACTCCGGAGTCTGTAGGCTTCATCACTAAGTTATTGTGCTTTCCTAATTTTAAAGAGCTATCAAACTGACCTCCTGCGTGAGAACCCTTCCAGTGGGGTAAGTAAAAGTTAAGACGGGGGCTGTTCAACTCACCAGGCATCCAGCCCCTTGCGGGAGGCTCCAGTGGGTAGAAGAAATCGCCTGCAGGAAAGAGCCGGGATTCGCCAACACATTTAGTTAATCCACATGGAGATTACTGATGAGGATCCTGGTTAATTAGTTGTGGAATTTTAAAAAAACGAGCAGATGTGCCCTGGTAAATGCATTTCACTTCCCGAGCCCTGGGGGAAAGCAGAGTATGTTGTGCGGCTGTGTGTGTGCGCACATATCTTGATTGAGCATTCAACGGCGTGCTTTGCAAGACTCAGGTATCCTGGCTGTGTTCCAGCATGGATAATGGCATTCGGCATCCACTCCTCCTACGGTCGCAGGCAGGGACGAGATCAGTCTTCATCACTGCAGCCCAAAGCGCCTACTATGCGCCAGCCAACAGCTGGGAAATTCCCAGGCGGCATCTCCAATTCTCTCCACAACCTGCAGAGTAAATTTATTGTAACCCTTTTAACATGGAAAGCGAGGCTCAGAGAAGAGAGAGGTGAGGGACTTGCCCAAGGCTATGCTAAGTGACAGGAAGGGATTCGAGTTTAAACATGCTGGGCTGCAAAGCCTGTATTTTTTTCCTCTTCTGCACTCTTCATTTGCAAAGAAAAAAAAAAAAGAAGGGGGAAAAAATGCACTTCACAAAATAAAGTCCAAGGATACAATATTTGAAAAATGAGTTCCCCGCCTCCAGGCTTTAGTCCCCACCCCGTTTCCCTCCCCAGAACCCGGCTACCATCTTCTTAGGTACCACCTGTGCACCGCCACGTGTTTCCTCTTTGAAGTTGCTGTTATAAGTGGTTTGGCTGAAATGGGCAGGGCTCTGTACTGAAGTTTCCTATTTAGAATTTACCCATGCTTTAGGAGCCAAGAGGGTTTTGTAGGGCTGTCAAACAAAGAAACAGGCTGTTTCATACACCGTTCAGGAAAAGTCAGTGAGCAGAGCAGGTCATATATTTTTATATAGTCGGAGAGCAAGAAGACAGTAGAATATCATGGGGAAACACTGTGCTCCCTTTTCATATCCAAACACACACACACCCCAGTTACCATGTGCACGTAGCATTTTTCTGCCTACAATTTACTACCAGCATTTGCCCCATGTCTTAAACATTTTCTAGAATGTTATTTATTATCCCAGCATTAGCATTTCACTACGTGCACCAGCCATCATGTAATCAATACAGTATTGTGTGCATTTGGGTTGTTTTCTAGTACTTCACTACGTTAATCTGTGTTGAGCAGCATTATGATATACATCTTTCTGTAAATATCTTAACACTTTGACAAGATAAATTCTGAAGAGTGCCTTCCATGAAATGTAAGCTATGTGCAATCCTAGCATGGTATATACGAGAGTGTGTATTCTAGGCACCATTGAGAACACGGAATAATTCATCTTTCTGGCAGGTCAAAAGGCCACCTTACTGGGATGTCATTTGTGTTTCTTTGAAATCTACTGAATTTGGATATGTTGCCAATTTTATATCTTCTTTCAGGAATTATGCCTTCTCCTCAGGTTTTTTATTAGGGTGTTTTTCCTACTGATTTATAATAACTCTACTTATTAAAAATATGAAATAGTTGTCTGTTACATATGGAACACAGTATTTTTGCATTTTATTTCACCTTGTGGGGATTTTTTGTCTTCCAAAACATTCCAGTGTTTATGTGGTCGCACTTTTCTTTCTTCCATTAGCATCACGGTTATACAGCCTTCCGCGTTCTCAAGAATATACACATATTAGTCACATTTTAATCTTTTACTCCATTATATTCTTCTTAACATTGAGTTCTTTCTTTCATCTTGAGTGTAGGTGTGAATGATGAAACTGACTGCATTTTTTCCCCAGTGGGTTCACTAATTGTCCCAAGATCGTCCCAATAATCCCAAATTTCCCAGCTGATTTGAAGTGCCATCTTGAGCTTGTGTTTTGTAGATATTTGTGCTTCTTCTGACTTTGTATTCTGTTCTATCAACCGATTCGCCTGCTCCTAAGCCAGAACCACACTGTTTTAATGACTACAGTTTTATAATATATGTTGGGTGACATCGCAGCTACCTCAATGATTCTTCCTCCCAACACAATCTGATCTTTAATTTATTCATCCAAAAGAACTTTATCATTGTAATGTCAAATTCAATTCTTTAAGTCCCCTTGCGATTGGATTGGAATTACATTTGATTTATAGATTAATTTGAGAAGAATAGATGTCTTTCTAATATTACGACTTTCCATCCCGCCATTTATTAAAGTTTTAATTGAACTGTCTATAAATTATAGAACGATATTAAATATTTATCGTGTTAGCAGGCATCTTTGTCTTGCCAAACTTTAATGAGACTCATAGCCTGAGGTTGCCAGCACGAGCAATAGGGTCAAAATGCTTGGGTTTTTATTCCGGCTTCAAATCAGAGCTTCGGGTCTTTGGCCCACTTCTCTCTGCCAAATTTCCTGACGTGAATAATGCGACTAATAGTACAGATACCTCCTGTGATGAGGTGTAAATGAGATAACCTAGCTCTTAAGGTTATTTTTTTAATTAGCAATGAATGTTGAATTTACTAAGTGCCTTTCCGGAATCTGTTGAGATGATCATTTTTTCTTTTGACCCATTTCTGCCCTGAATTATGATTTTTGTATTTAATTTAAGGATGTGGGAGCAAGTTGGCCAAGTACTAGGTACTGGGACACACACTTTTTTTTCTGCAAAACTCTATAGATAGATAATCTGTGGGTTTGGGCGGCATTTAATTATGCTACAAAGAAAGGCCTTGTATGGCTTATATTTGTAGAGAAACTTTTCTTTGCCTTTTCCATCCTGGATACCTATAATACTTATGGAACTTTTGCATTTTACATATAATTGAAAAATGTTTGCCCTGATGCATGTTCATATAGATAGATGATGGATGGATGAATGATAGATGGATGGGAGGGTGGATGGATGGATGTGGGTTTTATTTTGTTCACACTAAGCTGGTCCTTTGATCTGCCCACACAGTCATCTTTTGTCTCTGGAACTGTCTCTTGAATGAAATCGTTGCCTATAGCTCTGTCCAGTTGGTTCCGGGTTTCTTCAATAACGTGGCACACTGTACGTTGCCTGTGACTACTCTGTCCTCCATGTCCCCTTCTCTCCTACCAGTTCAATCTTGTAGACTTTTACTTGAGAAGCCCAAGGTCGTTTGTTCTTAATTTTATACTCCGCCCTGCTCTGTGTAGGTTGAAGCATCACCTCACCTTTTTACCACATTCATGTACCATTCACACCATTATTTACTTAATATTTGTCTTTAGATCAAGTCACATTTTCTATGTTCACTGTGTCTCTAAGCCTCATCCTAAGCAATAACACCTGCTAAATAAAGGTCAGGTCCCAGTTCCAATTTTCTAAAATACATTCAAATACATAACTGTAAACGACGTACTTTTCATCCATGAATCACCTTCACATCACAGGTGACCGCACGTGGGAAACGCTTTCTGAAGAGCTCAGGCTGCACTTCCTCGGGGAGCCCAGGTCTCCTCCGCGCATGCAGGCTGTGGTCTCGTCCCATGTTATTCATTTGCGAAGCATGAGTCATTCTTTTCTGGCTGCCGGTGATGGGATGGCACGGTGACAAGGACGGCGATACCCCAGTCAGCAAGGAAGACACCATCCCTTCCCGCTGGGGTTTGCAGGCTAATTGGGAAGAGAAGCAATAGAAAAACCGATAAACGCAAGAAAATCACAGATTGTGGACAAGCTCTGAGGGGATTAAGTCGTGGGGCTTGGCGAGTGACATTTGACATTTGGGCAGAGGGAACTGTTCCAGGCACAAACAACAGCACAGGCCTGGAGGTGGGGACGTAGGACGGGGGGTTCGCGCGCACCCAGCTGCACGTCCGACGTGCCTTCCAGCCGACACGCCATTCTCACCGTAGCCTGGACAAGAGCCCCAGTCGTACAGTGTAGGCGGAGCTCGGACCTCACCACCGCAGGACCGCAGACTCAACATCCATGCTCGTGGCTCTGGGCACAGCAGAGGCCTGGGTGGCACGTGAGCGGCTGACTTCCGGCGCTTCGCCCAGCGGCGCCGCCTGCTGCCCTTGTTGCCTGCATGGTACGCAGACCCACCCCTGCTGACCCCGTGCAGTGGGGCTTCACGTGCTCCGACACACCTGCCTCTGCGGGCGACAAATGGAAAGGAGTCCTGCGAGCGGCGCGTTTCTCCCCGGGAGGCACCAGGAACGCCGAGGGGCGGGGAAGGGGCTGTCCCCGCACGGCTGCAGTTGGGCCACCGCCCAGTAGGGGGCGCGGGCACCGTTGTGCGGCAGGCAGTGGGGCGGGCTCGCAGACAGCCCCCCGCCAAAAGCCATCCGCCCTGGGGACTCCGGAGTGTGAGGTTGTAAAGCTTGGTATAAAAATAAAACAGACTCACTGACTCATCCAGTCCTTGGCTGGGGACTTTGCAGATGCCTGGGAAGCTTCCAGAGCTGGAGGGCCCCTCAGGTCCTCAGGGTGGGGCCTCTGTGGGGAGTGAAGACGCTCCACTCTCACCGGGTCTAGAGCCTCTGCTGAGAGCGGCAGGGAAGGGCGGGCTGTGGTCGTTTGCGGAGTGGCAAGGTCCGGAACGGTCGCTGCTCACACAGGACGAGCGAGCTGGCCAGAGGAGCATGGCGGCGCCGCCAGCGAGGCTGAGGCCGTCAGGTGTTTGCAGCGGAGCCCACCTGCCAGGTTCAGCGGCTCCCCCGCAGCCCTCTTCCCGTCCACCTGTTGTCACTTAGGTTCACTGTGGGAGACTGCAAGGGGCATGAAGGTCCCTAAGCCGCCAGTTGGCACCATCGCTGGGAAGATTGGGACCACTTGGTGGCCCCCAGGTATCGTCTTGCTTTCTGGATGTCGGTGTCACCAGGGAGGGCCACACAATAGCCAGCTGGCTGAGAATGGACACTGGAAAATAGAGCCTAGACAGAGAAAAGCACCTGCAGGTCTGACCGTGAGTGACGGGCTGCGATGGTCCTGAGCCGGCGGAGATGGATGTCAGGTGAGACCCGTTAGGAGGTGACCTGCCGAATGTGGTTCCAGACTAGATGTGGGTGTTGCTGGGGCAACTGGTGGAGGGCGGGCCATGCGCTGAGATGTGAGGAGACAAACTGGAAGTGGGCTAGAGCCTCGGATGCCACGGAAAGGGGGGGCGTTTAGGGGTGTACTCAGAGCTGCAGCACGGGGTGAGTGGGTGGGAGGCAGATGTGACAGGTCGAAGACGAGCATGAGGAGAGGAAGCCCATGGGGCGCTTGGGCTTTATTTCAAGAGCTCTGGGGAGGAAAGGAGATATACAGGACTGTAGCAAGAGAGAGGGAAGGGAGGGGTGGTTGCCCTTCTGAAAGTCAAAAAGACTTAACCTGTACAGCATAGTGACTGGAGTTGATCATACATCGCCCCACCTGGATGCAGGGGTTGCTGGGAAATGTAGTCCTGGCTGGGCAGCCGCCCTCTAGAAATGAGGCACCCCAGGAGAGAGACGAGAGGCGCAGGGATTTGGGGCAGGCGTGGCCCCATCTCTGCCACAAATGCTGCAACCAACATCCTGGCACACACAGCCTTTCTGTGCCTGTACGAATACATTTCCAGAAGTGGAATTGCTGGGTTAAAGGGTATGTGCATTTTCCATTTGGGTAGATAATATCGATTTGCCCTCCTAAACACTGCATCGATTTATGCTGCTGTCCAAACTGGAGAGTGCTCATTTCTACACACTCTTGCAAACTATATTTTCCAACCTTATAGGTGCATATTATTCATCATAGGTTTTAATTTGTATTTCTTTAAGTTTAAGAGAGATGGAGTATCTTTTCATATATTTATTTCCCACTCATAGATCTTTTACTGTTAACTCTTCTCATAGCTTGTGTGAGCTGGCTCTCTTTTTCTTATCGACTTGCAAGAACTTTGAAAAAACGTATTTTAAAAATATATGTATATGTATGAAATCATCCTTTGTTCCTCTGTCTTATATGCTGCAAATATCTTCTCAGCCAGTCATTTTCCTTTTATTTATGGTATTTCTGCAACCCAGAGACTCACATTTGTCAGATAGTCTAACTTTTCAGCCCTTTCTTCCATGATTTTCGTCTCATGCTTAGAAAGGCTGTCGTCGTGCCAAGACTAATTTTATATTCTCACGTTTCCTCCTAGTGCTAGAGTCACACTGGAAGCCAGATTCCGCAACTTGCTGCGTTGCTTTGATGACTGGCTTTAGTTCTGCGTGTCCCAGTTTTCCCAGCTCACAAATGGGGTTCGTGAGGGCGCCTGCTTCCTAGAGCGAGTGTGAAGATGGAGCAAGGTGGCTCAGACGCACAGCTGAGGGCCACGTCTGCCCCAGCCACCACGCAACAAACGTTAGCTGCTAGCTTGTTTATGTCCCGGCATCAGTGACCGTGTCTCAGCCAGCCGGGGCTGCTGCCACAGACTGAGTGGCTTAAATGAGAGACATTTATTACTCACAGTCTGGAGGCTGGAAGTCCAAGATCAAGGTGCCAGCTGATTTGGTTCCTGCTGAGAGCTGTCTTCCTTACTGCCTTCTTGTTGTGTCCTCACGTGGTGGAGTGGGGAGACCATCTCCTCCATGTCTGTCCTCATCAGGGCACGAAGCCCATTGCTGAGGACTCCCACAGAATCCCCCCCCCAACACCATCACACCGGGGCCACAAACATTAGCGGACTGTGTATGGCTGATACGTGCTGCATGCCCATTTGTTAAAAGATAGACACCATGATTTACTGTACCATACGTTGTGAAATGATTACCAGTCAAGCTCATGACTATATCCATCACCTCACATAGTTACCGGGTTTTAAGACCTCATCTCTTAGCAACTTTTTAGTGTACATAGTGTAGTCTTAGTACAGTCACTCATACTGTCCATTAGACCACAGAACTTATTTATTTTCTAACTGAGTCTGTGCCCTGTGACCAGCACCTCCCTTGTCCCCCACCGCCAGCCCCTGGTAACCACCGTTCTACTCTCATGCCGAGCTCAACACGCAGGCTCCACAGATAAGTGAGCTCGTATAGCATTTGCTTTCTGTGTCTGGCTTATGTTACTCAGCCACAGCAAGGACAAGCTGCCATCGAGACAGCATGGACGAGCCTGGAGCACATCGTCTCCGGGAAGTCAGCCGTGGGCCCATTTCCTACGCTTGGCAAGCGATGGGCCTCAAACTCAGGCCCCTTTGATTCCAAACCCCTGCCCACCGCCAGCCGCCGCCTGTGTGTGGCTGGGCCATGCGAGGAGGGTCGCTGTATAGTCTCCATCTGTCACAGGGCAGAGCACAGCACAAATTCCATAATGCACGAGGGATGGGAGAAAGAATTGTGGTTGTTGGGGAACCTTGCGAGCCAAAGGTCTCAATAGAAGAGGCAGGCATCGGGTCACCTGTCTGCTCACCAGCGCCCGAGAGACATGCCAGGGCCTGGACGGACTGGGCCTCTGCCCTGACGCCTCCATCAACCCCTTTCTCACAGAGCAGGGGTGACGGCAGCCTTGCCAGCTGGGGGATGATCAAACTATCAGGCAGGCTGGGCTGAGGTGCCAGTGTCTGCAAATCAGGGAAAGCCAGCTGCCCAGCCTCGGGGCACCTTGACGGCCTGTGGGAAGCTGGGATCAGGCACAGCCCCTCCTGCCAGAGGGAGGAAACCACCAGCCCTTGCAGGAAGCCGAGTTCAGGTTCTGTACCTTACAGTGGGAAAAGGGGAGCCCCTCAAAGCTAACCCCTTGAGAACAAAGCCTACACCTTATCTTTTATCTCTGGCATACAGTAGGTGCTCAGTAAATGCTTGTTCGATGAATGGATGAGTGCATACCAGGCCCAGGACAAGCATTATCAATATAGAGATACGACAGCCATGATCCCTGCCTTCTGTGCCTTTACACTCGCGGGTGATGATAGGTGACGCGTAAGAAAATGGGAGACGTCTATAGTCGGTACCATGGAATCGCAAGGGTAACAAACGACTAATGTTTTTTGGGGAAGGGAAAAATCATGAAGGCGCAGTCAGGGAAGGCTCCTTCGCCGCAGGCACCCCTGGTGTCAGAGCTGCAGGGCTCTGGTCCCTCTGCAGGTGGCTGGGAGGTGGGAGGGGAAGACACGCTGCACAGCGGGACCACTGGGGGGCTTTGGGAGGTATGTAAGTGCCGCACGCCAGACCCAGTAAATCAGAAACTCGAGCTCAGGCGCAGGCGCGGGCGCAGGGGCCGGGTACCTGCAGCTTTAAAGCTCCCAGGTGATCCCAGCAGCCCCCGGGGCTGAGAAGCACAGGTGCAGACTCTGTTCCTATAGCCACTCAGCCCTCACAGCTGGTCAGGAGTATCACCTGGGGCGCGCCTTAGAGAACAAGCGGCCCAGGCCCCTCCCCGCACACTCGGATTCAGTCCAGGAACCTCCATGTTTAACAAAACCATGCTTCTTACAATCCAAGAAGCTTGGGGAGCTGCTGCCTTAATAAAATGTGTTCTCGTTAGTGACATCATCGCACTTGTTACTCTCGACTGCCTTCTGTATTTATTTGCATGTTGATGTCGCTGCCCATCCCCGCTCCCAGCCATAGACTGTCAGCTCCGAGAGAATAGGGTTGGGGTGTGTGTTGGTGACGTGCGGTATTCTCGGCACCAAGAAGAGGACCGGCACTTAGTAGGGCTGTAGTGAATGTCTGTTGATGGGAAAACATAAGGGCGAGGCTTTCCCCTGGGCACACTGAGGAGGAAGCACATTTGGGCATGCCGGCGGGGACGCGTGCCCTTCCCAGGCCACCACCGAAGCCTGCGGGAACCACGGACTTCCTGCGGCCCCTCCCCCAATAGGAATAAAACCCTTAAAACCTCCCTGGTCATCTTGGAAATGATCCTTTGCCCCACCCGGTGGTGGGGCAGACACAGTGCCCACGGCCATCCTGTCCACACACATCTCTCATCATTACTGATAGGATTCTCTGCTAACGCTGCACCCCATGCCTGTGTTCTGGCAGACCGGGTGCCTGGGGCTCATGCTGGAGCTCAACACCCGGCAGATGAACACAGGATTCGGTGCAGCCAAAAAGGAACCACAACGGAGCCACAGACAGGGGGTCCATACCTCTATGTTATGTTCTCGCTGGCGGCCGGGCGAGTCACAGGAAGTAGGATCCGCAGGATCTGCACCATGCGCAACACCTGCGCTTGCTGGCGGCCATCTAATATGAGCCAGCACCTTTACACGTGAGGCCAAGAGCCTGGAAAATGCCCTCCTGGCCCTTGCCCTACACTGGGGGTCTTTGGTGTCTTATTACCCCCTCACTGGGCAACCAGGCTCCTTCACAGCCTGGGGGGGGGGGTAATTAGGAAGGAAAAGGCGTTACCACAAGAAACTGGTTCGGAAAAGGAGCGCTGCTTTGCCCGCATGCTGGGCCCAGGCTGAGAGCAGAAATGGGACCCCGCCCTCCTGGGTCCACAGCCCGAAATCCTTCCACGTATGCGACACTAGGTCCCAGCTTGACCACCATTAGTAATTCTTCCCGCTCCCAGGACAAAGGCCTTAACGGCATCCACGTGGCCGTCACCAGCTGGCCCATGGCCACCCCAGGCTCTGGCCACATTGGGCTTCTCAGAGTTCTCCCCACAAGTCTGTTTAATGGCTTATCGAGTCAACCTCTTTGTGTTGGGAAGACCTATGAGTCACCCCCCACAGGGTTTGGAAAGTCCTGAAGTTTAAGTGCACTGTCACACTTAGGGAATCTCATGTACTTTCACCATACAGGCTAACACCGAATTACAATGTGGGCCAAGGTCATGACCTCATATAGTTAGATTTCTAAGAACATCTGGCCAAGGAATTCTGTTCAGGTGCACTTGTGACTGCTAATAATGATATCCCATAAAATAATAATGGCCTACTCAACATTAATAAACACTATTAAAACTCTCAACTCACAAGGGTTCATTAAAGACCTTGGGCCTACACGCAAAATATCAGTGGTCTCAGCCTCTCAGTCGCAGTGAATTCTAAGGTGCAAGGCGGACAATGGGCAGGTTCTCAGGGGAGGCAGCAGGGGAATGGATACGAGAGCACAGGTGGAGTTTCAGGGTGAGCCCTGAGAATTAGGGCAATTCCAATCACAAGATCCAAGGTGGCCAGGAGTAAGAGGTGCTAAAAGGGAAGAGAAAATGGAGATATTTGGTCAAAGAACTGTGCAGCCATGTTATTGACCAGGGACGATGACAGGAACTGGGACAAAGACCAGGAACCAGAGGAAAGTGAAGAGGGGTGTTTGGGGGTTGGCAGATCATTGCATTAGGGGTAAGAACCCTCCACTGGCGCTTCTCAGCTCTGCCTTCCATTGGGAAGACCTGAGGAGCTTTTAAAAAAAGTACCCACCCCCAAATATTGTTAATTAGTTGGTACAGGATGGGCCCTAGACATCTGTATTTTTTTTAAAATTCCTCGGTGGTCTAATGTGCATCCAGGATTAAGAAAAACTGGTTTAAGGTAAAACATGGCCTTCAGAAAGAAGTAATGACTGGGAGCCAGGCAGGGGTGTCCTCTCCGTCAAGGTCCGAAAGAGACACATACGGAAGGTGCCTACAGAGCTTCCACCATCACCCCGAAAGTCTCGAGCTGAGCCAGGAGATGAAAGAGCACGGAAGCCAGAGGTCGCAGAACCCGGCTTCTGACAGGTCCCACCGGCCTGATCGGCTGTGCTCCTCCAGACTGATTTCAAGGACGGTTTCAAGGATGTATTTCAGATGTGTTTCAGCAGGAAAAGACACGGAACTCATTTCCAAAACACTTGCTATTCCTACAAAACGAGCCTTTTCCCCCAAAAGATTCTCTGAATACATTTGGAGAAGTCTCTTGCCAGGCCAGTGTTCCGTGGCTGCCTTTGTGTCTTTTGAAACTGTAATAAGCGCGTGAGCCATTTCAAGCAGCCTGAAAGGTGATGCGGGTACAGTAAGTCGGCACTCACCTTCATCTGTGACCTGCGCTCCCCCCCCACCTCAAGGCCCCTTCCCTGCTGCTCTGGCTCGTTTCTGGTTTCCTTCGCCAGACAGACGTGCTGCGTGTCCCGCCTTTTTTCACGGAGCACTTTGTCTTGGAAATGATTCCGTGTTCATCTGCACGTCTCCCCCAGTCTGTTCACTGGCTGTTCCGTCGTTGTTGAACCCACACTGACGGACCCGGAGGTTGCTTCCTGTCTTACAGCAAACCTGTTAAAGGCTCCAACACAGAGCGGGCGGGTGTTAGGGTGGGTTCCTCCCCAGGGGAGAGCGGGCGGGCTCCAGTGTCACAGCGGAGAGGAGGGGACGGCCGGGTGCGGGGGATGCTCGTCCGGGGCCTCCGGGCGCCCCGTCTGACCGTGTGCTGCTTCCGCCCACAGGAGCCTGATGCCCAGGACCCTGGAGAGCCAGATCACGCTGGAGAAGACGCCCAGCTACTTCGTCACGCAGGACGCCCCGCGCCGGATCTTCAACATGTCCCGCGACACCAAGCTGATCGTGGTGGTGCGCGACCCGGTGACGCGCGCCATCTCCGACTACACGCAGACGCTGTCCAAGAAGCCGGACATCCCCACCTTCGAGGTGCTGACCTTCCGGAACCGCACGCAGGGGCTGGTGGACGCGTCGTGGGGCGCCATCCGCATCGGCCTGTACGCGCTGCACCTGCAGAGCTGGCTGCGCTACTTCCCGCTCGCGCAGATCCACTTCGTGAGCGGCGAGCGGCTCATCGTGGACCCCGCGGGCGAGATGGGGCGGGTGCAGGACTTCCTGGGCGTCCGCAGGTTCCTCACGGACAAGCACTTCTACTTCAACAAGACCAAAGGCTTCCCCTGCTTGAGAAAGACGGAGTCCAGCCTGCTGCCGCGGTGCCTGGGCAAATCGAAGGGCAGAACTCACGTGCAGATCGATCCCGAGGTGATCGACCAGCTCCGGGAATTTTACAGACCTTATAATATCAAGTTTTATGAAACGGTCGGGCAGGACTTCAGGTGGGAGTGAGCCGCTGCGCGGCCGAGGCGCTGGTGTCTCCCGGCGCTTTGTTCTCAGAGCCTCGGGTCCCCGACCCCCCATCCACACACACACACCACCCTCCAGCAAACCCAGGCTCCGCCCCCTTCCCCATCTTGGGCTCCGTCACCCTGGAACCAGGAAGCCCACCAGCCAAGGCCAAGAGACCAGGGGGCCCTGCCACTGGCTGTCCCCAGTCTGCCCAGGCAAAGTCATCTGCGACTGGCGCGTCCAGTCAACCGGAATCGTGACCCTCCAGCCTGGAAGAGGCTTTGGGAAACCGTTTTAAGGAGAGTGGGTCTTCCCATTATGATGTGGTGATGGCTCTGGGCGACGAACACAGCAGTCTGTCCCTGTCACTGCCCAACCCAGGGCGGGCTTGTTAATCCTGAGTGGCATGTACCTCCCCTCTGAGCTTAGCTCCCCGGGCCACCCGCCCTGGGCCGCTCATCAGGAGAGCAGAGCAGGAAGCACCAGCCACTCCTAGGAGTGAGGGAGTAAACCCGAGCTTTCAGCGCTGTGGTCTCCGCTCTGCCTGACGGTGACTGTCTGAAAGCTACCTGGTGACCCCTCCCCCAGGGACAAAAGCACATAATTCTGTGGTTACGGGTACTTGCCTCACGAGCTTTCATGTTCAGCATGCGATGCAATCATGCTTGTCCGTGTGAAATAAATATGGCTTTCTCGTGTCCCTACCGCTGGGCTTTTCTCTGTAAGTCAGGCCTAGAGCACCTGGCTCATCATTCAGCATCTCCAAGCACCCACGATGGGGCTGGTGCTGGGGATGGTCAGGCGGGCAGTGGGGGTGCGGATCGCCTGGGAGGGGTGCAAAGACTACATGGGTGAGAAGCAAGCGGGTCGGAGATGGGAAAAGAGGTTTCTGCTGGCGGACCCTGGGTCCAGTATATTAATATCTGAGAAGTGGAAACTATTGTTGAAATTGAGCACAAATCTTGGGTGTTCTGTTTGTGGCAAAAAGGAAGCAGAGAGGGGTAAGGACTTTGAGCCAAGCGTGCTCTGGGAAATTAAACTGACATTTGGACTGCAGAGTTGCTGCACAGATCGACATAAAATTCCAGATCAAAGTTAAATCAAGAGAAATATGGAATCGTGTCGAGACACATGTGTGATAAATGTTCCAAGTGCACTGAGTTCAAACACAGCTCTGAGTTTCCTAAGAGGCAAAGTAAAGAGGAACACCAGTGGGTGGTGGGCCTCACGTGATCTGATGATGTGAGCTCAGATGAAAAGGGAAGAGAGAGAAGAGACAGAGACCCAATGTCCTGAGGGAGACATTTGTGTAAGAACTACTGGTCAACAGAATGAATTCTTGATAATGATTTTTACAGGAAATCCTGGGGCAGTCCGAGCCAGTGTTTCTTACATAAAAAATAGCGATGAACATGAAATGGGAAGAATACGGAACAATGGGTCTACCGAGAGGAGTCTATAGGGATCAAGGTGGGACCGTGCAGAATCGCAAATCATGGCTGCCCGCACTGACAGAGGGACGAAGCCTGGAGAATTCTGAGAGGGAATAACAATCTGACCTTTCCCAGAACAGCCGCCATTTGAATCTGGCGTTAGCTGCAGGCAAATGGTTCACTGCTGATGTCACTAGTGAGCGTCTGAAAGACAAGTTTCCTATGACTTCAAGTAAAAGAAGACCTTCTAATAAAGAAATTGGGCAAATAGTGATCCAAAATGATAACTCCTAACGAAAACTAAAAGTTTGCCTGCTGTAAAAAGAGGAGGCTTCCTGGAGTAACTACTGTTAGAGCCGAGAGGTGGGTCTCCCAAAATGGTCCTTGGTTAATTAAAAAATTCAACACATGCCCCCACTGAATCTCCAAAAGATTGTCCTCACTCTAGCCTAGAAGATTCTGACATTAAAAAGCTCCAAGAGGGCTGGCCGAGTGGCTCAGTTGTTTAAGAGCTCGCTCACGAGTGCGAGCTCTGAGCAGCAGGGTTGCCGGTTTGATTCTCCGGCCCGAGCTGAGCTGCCGCTGAGCTGCCAACAGGTGACAGGATGGCTCAGCTGAAACAAAGCTCCAAGGTCCCACCTTCACTTTCAAGCCCATACACCTGCCATAGCCTGAAGCTAACCCTAACCACATGAAATCGCCATCATTGAGCTGTTCTGACTTGTAAAAATGGCAACTTCATATGGCCCGATCTAATACAAACTTTTAGGAATTTAGATGGAATACTTAGCTATCCACTTGCCTCATTTATTTTAGTTACCCAGATGTATTTAAAACTCCCATGATCTGGACAAACATATGGATTTAAGATACTGCTTTTTTCCCCTTTCTCATATCTCATAAATTTGGATTCCCTAATTTCTTCTCATTACTCTCTGGCATCAAGGTCTCGTTTGAGTTCCTCTAACAGCTGACCTTTCTGGTCAAGGGTCGGGAGGGTGGAGTCATGATCCAGCATCATAGTCACTTAACATCTCGATTTTAAGGTGACCTCCCAAGGGCTTGTCCACAGGTGACACTTGTATCACAAGAAATAAGGGTTGAGCTCGTGTGAAATTTCTTCACCTTCTCTGTCACCAAGTCCATCCACTGACCTACATAGGATCCCAAATTAGCACCAAGCCTGCTAACATCAGGTGCTACAAACAGTCCTTCATGGTCCAAAGTAAAGTAGTTTAGAGACTGTCCCTTAATAAAGAGGCCTTATAAGGACTCACATATAAGATGACTCTACCTTTTCTGAGGGACTGTATTGTGGGGGGTGCTGTCACCCCTTATAAATACATATTTGGAGATGACTTTTCAATTCTGAGCACAAGTGCACAGCAATTAACCTTTCGGGAAAATTTGGCAGCAAAATGGCCCCAGGTAGCTGAGTTAATGAACCTTTTGAGTAGGATAATTTAATATTTCCTATTTGGAAGCCAAGTTTTGTTTTGTTTTGTTTCCAAATGCACGTTTTCTTTTTGGCATAATTCACATTTGGTTAATCCTGCCTGGCACCGTTTAGCCAACAGGCTTGGCCGTCCCATGTTGTCTCCTGGAACCTCTGACTATAAGCTTAACATTCAGTGGATAAAAGTGGATCAAAATACTGATCTCCCTGTGTGATGAGGCAACAGAACCTGCTTCTAGTTCACCAAGAAACTGCACCAAATTGTTGAAGGGGAGTCTCATTTTATGCCATTTTAAAAATGGAATTTGCTTTCTTCCCCACTCTGAGTCTCTCAATGAATTTAGAAAAATGAGGTGGGGGGTGGGGGAAAAGGAGAGAGAGAGAGCATTAAAAGCCTTGGATCAATATGATTAAGATCATATGACTTGACCCATAAATGATTTATATATATATGAAGTCAAAGCCAATAATACATCAAGGGTCTTAGTTTATTCATTCTAACCACTCTCTATTGAGTGAAACAGGATCAAACCATGATCAATGGTCAAATAAGTGAACTCAAGCTGCCTGCCCTCACGGAGAACATTAGGACAACATACCCTGACGTTTGCAAAAATGAAATTTGGCATCGAGATTCCCGGGGATGTTGACTGGATCAGCATTTCCCAAACTTTAGACATTTGAGCATCATCTTTACAATTTCTGCCATAGCCACATACCACCTGTACTATTATTATCTTAGCCTTTTCCTTTTAATCATCTCCTTATTTACATTTAAAAAGGAAACTTTGTGTTTCTATCAGACGTGAGAAATCGGTGCCAGTAGTCCTAATTAATGAAAACACAAAAGCCTAACTATTGCTCTGAGGGGGTGTCTTTCCCCATTCCTCTGGTTACGAAGAGAAGGGTTCTCCACGAAACACTCCTAAATTCTTGCCTACCTTTTCTCCTCTTCCTGAAGAGGTGGCAAGAATCCACCTGGTTGGTGGGGACCGCCACTGGTCCACATTTCCCGACAGGCTGGAGCTAATTTATCAGAAATCCTACTTTTTGTGTGTTTCCCTTCCCTCTCCACTGAGGCTGGAGTCACACAGTGACCTGGATAAGTGGGTCTGTTTCTCAGGCTCACACTTTCCCTCAGGTGGGCTGCCCAAGGTGCCAGCTGGGGGCGCAAGGTGGGGAGGGCATAAGTGGGGCCCTTTGATGGCAACAAAGCCAGCTCTCAGCCTGCCCGTTACCGTAATAAGGTCACTATAATCTCCCATGTGCTTTGTGCTTCTGCCTTTTTTCTCAGTTGGTTCTGAGGGAAAGAACGCTGCATTGGCTCCCTCTAATCCCAACAGATATTTAAAACATTTTACAAATCATCAATGAGCTCCCTAAAACGCTCTCACGTACCAACCATGACACATTCATCCCACTTCAAAACAATGATTTGGGAAGTCGGAGAAATGTATCTTTGTTGCTAACTACACTAGATTATATTTTGAGTTTCCCCTGATGGACTCTCTCTGAAGAGCTAATGATAATCATTTATAATAATTGGGGCACTCAAAGCTGAGAGCGAAATCTAAAGCATTTCAGGAGGCAAACGCTCTCTCCAGGACCAGGGTGATATTCAAAAGATGTAAACCCAGGACAGCATCAGCTCCGACTAATGAGGAGAGATTGGGCCATATACAGCCAGGGTGTCCGCCTTTAGCGTGCAGCATCACAAAGTCCTCTGAGACCCTGCTGCCCAGGCGTCCTGGGAAGGCCATCATGACATCCCCTGAGAGCTGTTAGAAATGCAGGCACTCAGGGCCTGCACCAGACCTGCTGACTCACAACCCCAGGTGATTCCTACATACATTACAGGCACGTCTGCATTTCTAAAACGTTGCCTGGGGGTGGGGGAGACCGGGAACTGTTGCCCAGTGGGTTGGATGAAAAAGTTCTGGAAGTCCGCTGTCCACACAGTGTGCAGTCTTAAGACGGTATTGTACACTAAACACTGGTAAAGCAAGGGGATCTCACATGTCCTTACCACAATAATAGTTTTTAAAATCACAGCGGGACATGGGGAAAGGTGGAGGCGACGGGTACGTTTCTTACCTTGATTGTGGTGATGGTACCCCGGGTAGGTGACTATGCTAAAACCCATCCAATTGTGCACATGAACGGTGCAGGTTTTTTTTAATATATATATATATATATAAGCATATATCAATAAAGCTGTTTAAAAAGATGGTATTTGAAGATTTCCCACTCTTTCTCCCCCCCAAAAGCCCGTCAGGGGATTCTACTCTGCAGACCCCACTTTGAGTAGCCAAGGGGTAGATGTGAAGTGACTCTGGAATTGGAAGGGCATGCACCCCAACTTCCTGGACATGCACCCCAACTTCCTGGACATGCACCCCAACTTCCATGCCTCCCGAGGGCTGGGCAATAGCAGCAGTGCTCCCCCAGATCTGATTTTGTTCTCTGAACAGCCAGGTACTGGGCTTTCCTGTTCCACTGTCAGGAAATGTGCTATTCCTAGAAGGACTTCAGGGAGTCCCGGGCTAACTTGCCCTGAGTGCTGAAGCCTCAGTTATAAAACGAATAGATGCCCAAGGGGGATAAACAAAAAAAAAAACATGTAACATTTGTTAACCTTCTATGGCGGGTATGGGATTGTGTCTCACATCACTTCCTACGGTTGAAATTTTGAAATTAGAAGATAAAATAATCAACTAAGTAAAAATAATAGATGCCCAATTGAGACAAGAAAAATTGCAAAGGGTAAAACTTTTAACTTCAAGTTAAACCTATGGGTATTTATCCTTTCAGTCTCTTTTCTGGTTAAAAAGGAAATTTAAAATTTGCACCTGCTTTCCGTTCCTCTCCTTCATAAATCCCAACTGAAATGGTCACACACAAAAAAATGGTGGGTACGGAGAGGCCTCCATCCACCTGAGAAACAGGGCAGAGCTTCCTGCAGGGTTTCCACTAGAACCCCCAGCTCAGCGTGAAGGGGGCGGGGCGGGACAGAGGCCTGGAGACTGGGCCCTGGCGAGGGCCCGGACAGCAGGCCAAGCCGCGGGGAGGCATTTCCGCAGGAGCTGGTAAGGAGGGCACTTAGAGGAGAGGGCAGCGCCCTACTAGCAATGAGCTGCTGTGGCCAAAATAAACTCAGAAAGGAAATGGCTTTGCCCGGCAGGAAGTCCTTGCCTGCAATGCTAACTCCCCTGGGAACTCACGGCCTTCCCATCACAGGCAACCAAAGCCCCAATCCAGAAAAGGAAACATGTACAGCCCCATCTCCCCCTGGTCGGAGTCACAAAGACCCAACAAGCACAGAACCTATTTTGTAAAATCCAGGACTGGAAGATTTCCCCCCCTACCCCATAAAGACGCCCAAGGAGAGAAAAATTATGGCGGGGCAGGGAGCTAAGAGAAGATTCAGAAGCTTAAAGAAAGGTGGTGCTAGAGGGTTCTTCTGAGACTGAGGCCAAGGAAAGTGAGAAAGCATTTTATAATCATCCCTATTCCGTCTTTTCTTGAGATCTGAAAAGACATTACATTTTATAAAAAGACAGGAATTAAGAAATTCTGTTTGTAGCCAAAAGAAGGCTCTAGGAAAATTTAAAGGGACAGGCTTTGGGTTTAGACAGCCGGGGTTCGAATCTTGGCTCTGCCAGTGATTAACTGCATGAACTTGACCTCTCGGTGCCTTAGTTTCTTCACCTGTGGAAAGGGCTGGTAATGATCGCCCTACATCCTAGAACTCTCCAGAAGACGATGTGATAATGTATGTCAAAGATGTGGCAAAGCAGTTGCTCATGCTACATTACATATTCTATTTGCTGTTAAAAAAAACAAAAAAAAAAACCTGAAACCAGATTTTAAAATGCAACGGACAGCTTCCGGTTTCTAGAGGGCGAATTTCACCTACATGTTTAGCTCTGTTCTCTCCCCAAAAACCCCACCAAAATGATGAAACGCAAAAGGCTTAGTAACCTTGGAAGAGCGAGAAAGCTGCAACCGACAGACAAAGGGGCTCTGAGGAATTCTTGGGAGATGGGAAATGGATGCAGACGGACTGACGGAACTGCTGTGGGGGGTGACCGACCCTA